ACCCGGCAGCTAAAAATTAAACTCTGATCTATAAGATGAACTAGTATACTTGTGAGTTTATAAAGAGGCTTAGAATTCGAAATTTTAATAGCAATTAATTGATATTCTCGCGTGAATTACATGATTGAAGAGAGACTTTCTGAAATCAGGTGTGCGGTTTGGAATAGTGCAGTGTAGTCAGTAGAGACGGCGCTTCGCAAAAGCGCAACGTTGAAAGGTGAGGATCCCATAAATAAATACCTCAATAAAGGTGTTTTTCTCTACATCTAGGGGACCCATATTAATATCCTTCCGGTAGCAATCGTCAGATATTTAGTTACCTACCGAACTACTTATACCGCATTCTTTGCGGCAGAACCACCGCCGCAGGGTTACGCCACAGGATGGTATTCTATTCCTCTCGTAAACGAATCGGCAGTGGAGCTAGAAATTCGAGACTTTCAAATTATTTCTTACGCGGGTGGCATGACACTTTTTTAGAACGGGCAATTTCAGAATACCATTTATGATCTGAAACAGCGGTCATTGATTATGCTGACTAAGTGGTTTACGAATCAGTTGTACATATCTCCGAAAGATACCACAGATGTCCTTCCCTCAGTTGGAGGCGTTTTTCTGATGCTTTTCATCAAAGTCAAGCACTTGGGCTTGATTCTAGATACTAAGAGCTGTCATGGAAGCCTAATATTGAGAAAAGAGTGAAGAAAGTATCAGTTACTCCCTACTGCTGCAGAAATATAATTGGTAAGAGATTTGGGCATCTCTTCTAAAATAATTTCCTTGCTCTATGAAACCATAGCGACTCCCATAATAATTATAACGCGCCGCTCTCATTAAACTCCGAAGCACTTAGAACCGTCGGTATCGTACGTGGCTAGACTGATACCAATTATCTCTTTATCCACTCACGCTTGCAGGGAAATAATGGAATCGAAGGAAGTGATTGGAAAGAGACAGCGGTGAACTTTTACGCGAATGAGTCGAAACTTAAAAAAAAGGGACGGTGAAGCGGTCATTTGTGGGAAATTCTCTACTGACCTTGAATTTAGGCTTCCAGATCACTCGACGACATCAGAAAGGAAATTCAAACGGAAGTCAGATCCTTATACTCGCTTACGGTGCGCTAACAGGCAGGTGAGGAATTTCACGCCCCTCTTTCGATCACGTCTGAGTATTCCCTTATCAGATGAGCTGCCAGTGACGCAAGCATTGCAGTAAACTTTGTACAGACTTGGAAAGCACCTTAGAGTCCGTCAAGCCGAGAAATGGGAGAGTGGAATACCTTTGACCACATTTTAACTACACTAGAACAAATGGGACTTGTTTTAGCTCAGTGAAAGCTGGCAATAAAACAAGAAATTTGCTACAGCAATGCTTTTCTGGCCATAATTGGGCTGGAGGTGGTCGAGGGATCTCCTAAGGCTCATAAAACCGCAAGTCTCATGTCTAATAAATATACTGACAGGACATTTTCCGATTGGAATTCACATAGTGAGATAAAATATGAGCAGGATATTCACCATTGCGACTGCTTGTAGTACCACGAGCTGGAACACTTAATCGTATATAAAGTACTTTTTATAGTTTTCTGGAAGTGAATAAATATTTGGTTTCTCCAAAAAATAAGAATACTTATGCAGATGCAACATTAGCGATACCTCATAACATTAGAACTAAGGGGAACAAATTACACGATTCGCTGGAGGAAAATAAAAGATTTCAGA